AGGACCTAGACTTTGCCAAGTGGGAGCTTAGAGTGTCACCTGCTATATATTGTGTGCATCTGAACTAAATCATATAGGCTGTGGCTAACTCAGATGAATGGATGGTGCTAGGCATGTTGCTGGCAGGCAATAAGTGATAAATGTTGCAGCACAGCAAGGGATAATATTTTTCATCCCAGCTGGAAAATGTTTGGCTCCAGATCAGATGAAGTTTACTTTCTTTTTGGGACTATACCTGTGCGTCTTCACAAAATGGTTCAGTGTCATTACAGTACAGATCTGCATCTGAAAGACAACCAGACACATAACCAACACACTCTGTCTGCTGTGTTACTACAGTTACATAACTAAAGCTAACCACCTTTATCTGTCTTGTCTAGTTAGAACATGAGCTCTCTGCAGGGGGGACTGTTCTTGCTATGTGACTGCCTGGCACCTAGCACCATGGGGTCCAGTGAGAGTCGGGGCCTGAAGGCACTATTGCACTACAAAAACCACAGAATCAGGTTACCTGGCTGCTCTTCTTTCCACTGCCACATGCTTGCTGACCTTGGGCAAGTCACTTAACTTCTCTGTTGCCCCAGTTTTGCTATCTATAAAATAGGAATAATAATACTTAGCTACTTCACAGGGATGACATGAGGCCTCTCTTATTAATACCTGTGAAATATTATGAGATCCTGGCATTGAAATCCCCCTAATGTGTAAATCATCATTAAAATCTGAGGACTTGCCTGTGTAATGCTTACTTCATTGGCAAGCTCTTGCTTAAGTAATTCCACTGGGACTTGTGTGAGCAGTGCTGACTTTTGGGAAGAAAGGTGGCACAGCTGGCTCATAATCAATATCAGGAGAGGAATTAAGTGGCACAGGCAAGGAGGCAATGATGTGTTTTATGATGAGATTTGAAAAGAGATGGAGACAAAGAAGATGAGCCATGGAAAGAGTTGCAGAGGAGAAGGCTCTTGCACTAGCCGGGGTGAAGATTGTATGTAAAGCAATTAAAAGGAGACCGGGGCTAACAGATGAAGGAATAAGGAGGGGAGGAGAGAGGCAAGGCTGTGGAGGGTTTTAAAAGCAAGAAATGTAGTTTTGAAAGGGAATCTGAAATGAATAAATACCCAGTGGACAAGTATGAGGAAGGGTGGAAGGGACTGTACCTATGAGAATGGGGGGCAGGTTGGTGAAGGCATTTCCAGGATTGAGGGTGAACTACCTCAGGAGGTGACTTTGTACAGCTTGTGCATTTTGGTGGCTTCAATGAATTTTATCCAAAGAAAGTGGTGTTATTACCTTCTGTGCCCAAGACCAGGACATGAGGGCCAAGACCTGCTGTCACTTCTGCAATACAGAAAAAAGCTTCTATTGTCTGTACAATAGAAATGCCAGCAGGTCCTGGCTTTTGGGATTAGAAAGCCTTGTAAAAGCTGACTATAGAACATACCTAGCTGAACCATCCAGGATCACTGATACTGCTATTACTTTTAGTTCCTCAAAACATCCCCTGCGCCATCCCAGTTCAGCTTGGTGAGTTCAAGCTTGACTTGGTGAGTTCTGGCATTCAGCACCACTTGAGCAGAGCTAGATCTGCGTCAAAGCCCAGACATGAATCTTGGTACAGGCATGTTCAATGGGATGCAACAGCTTCTTGGGGCGGGTGAAAGTACTTTACAGAGCAATTTGTGCAATCCACATTCTTCAAAAATGGTTAGAAGCATTTGAAGTCTATGGCCAGCCTGAAATTCAAAACAAATGAATCCCAGCAAATAACATGATAAAAAATGGAGACAGGATGGACTGGTCCACAATATTGTCATCACCTCAGCCCTATCTCCACTGAAGATGGAAGTACCCCTTAATTTAGTGTAGAAATGATTGGGGGCAGGGGACAGGGGCTGGGAAAGGGTCTCTGTTCACTGTTTAGACGACCATATTGGCAGACTTCATTCCACGCAGTAATGATTTAGAGATCATTAAACTGCCCCTGGAAACAGTTTCTTAGACTTCCAATAACTATTTGCAATGACTAAATAAATATAGTGTCTCTTAAACTCTAGACTGACTATGAGCTTTGTTGGGCATTCTCTATTGGGCTTGGGGAAGAAAGGGAATGGAAGGTGCATTGATAAGGTGACTTCCTAAAACCATGAAAACTTTAGGGATAAATGACCTGATTTTCCATGCAGCCTCAAGTCTCCACTTGTGCACACACAGTTTTCCCACACACTTTCCCAGCACCAACATGTCTGTGCAGTTGTGATGGTGTCTGCATGCACAAGGCTCCATTGGATAAAAGATTTTTGTGCTGTATACCAGCAGTGTACAAAATGAGGCCTCGATCTGATTACATGAGCCAAACAAAATGGGAGACTCCAGTGTGGCTCATGGAGAACTTTGGATTTTCAGTGCCAAATGGCCAACTTTGTCAAGTGATGCATATACAGTGTCTGTTTTTTAAAAATGCCATCGCTTTTCCAAGTCTATGAAACCAAACAAACATATTTATAACTGAGGGAACAGTCCTCACACCATTCTCATGAGTCCAGAGAAAGTAAAATCATAGACTGATGTTACTGAGTACCACCTTTAAAGCTCACAAAAAAAGAGGAGTGGAAAGATGCATATTATAGCGTACTGTAACAGGCCCGGGGAGAGTTATTTCTGAGCTTGAATCACTTTTCCCAGGTTTGGTTCCACGTTGATTTTTGTTTCTGGCTGTGTTTTTTTTAAAATTAAGATTTCCAATTAATCAAGTTATATAAATTACAGATGATTTCTTTGTCACTATATTTCTAAACAGCCGTTTTAAATTTTAAATACAGTACAGTACTGTATTGCATAATGTAATGTTCATTTATAAGGCAATTAAAGTTAAACATGAAGCATCGGAAGCAATAGTAGCCTTTCTGTACATTGTAAAAGTGCCCATTTTACAACAAACCTTTGAAGAGAGACCATCTCTTACAAGCAACCACTTTTGCAAACTCCCATGAGTGGTTGCTCTTGGTAGGTTTTACTGTACTACAATCCTCAGGAGATTAGATCTTGTATGCCACAGGCAGAGAATGGGAGGGACCGAGGTGCACCAATGTGTGAGGCCCTTGCAATACAAGGTAATTTAGCAAAGCTTTTGATATGGTCTCCCACAGTATTCTTTCCAGCAAGTTAAAGAAGTATGGATTGGATGAATGGACTGTAAGGTGGATAGAAAGCTGGCTAGAAAGTCTGGCTCAATGGGTAGTGATCAAAAGCTCGATGTCTAGTAGGCAGCCAGTATCAAGTGGAGTGGCCCAGGGGTCGGTCCTGGAGCCAGTTTTATTCAACATCTTCATTAATGATCTGGATGATAGGATGAATTGCACCCTCAGTAAGTTCACGGATGACACTTAGCTGTGGGGAGAGGTAAATACATTGGAGAGTAGGGATAGGGTCCAGAGTGACCTAGACAAATTGGAGGATTGGGCCAAAAGAAATCTGATAAGGTTCAACAAGGACAAGTGCAGAGTCCTGCACTTAGGAAGGAAGAATCCCATGCACCGTTACAGGCTGCAGACCAACTGTCTAAGCAGCAGTTCTGCAGAAAAGGACCTGGGGATTACAGTGGATGGGAAGCTGGATATAAGTCAGTAGTGTGCCCTTGTTGCCAAGAAGACTAACGGCATATCAGGCTGCATACGTAGGAGCATTGCCAGGAGATCAAGGGAAGTGATTATTCCCCTCTATTCGGCACTGGTGAGGCCACAACTGGAATATTGTGCCCAGTTTTGGGCCCCCCATTACAGAAAGGATGTCAACAAATTGGAGAGAGTTCAGCAGAGAGCAACAAAAATTATTAGGGGGCTGCAGCACATGACTTACAAGGAGAGGCTGAGGGAACTGGGCTTATTTAGTTTGCAGAAGAGTGAGGGGGATCTGAGAGCAGCCTTCAACTACCTGAAGAGGATGGAGCTAGGCTGTTCTCAGTGGTGGGAGATGACAGAACAAAGAGCAATGGTCTCAATCTGCAGTGGGGGAGGTCTAGGTTGGATAGTAGGAAAAACTATTTAACTAGGAGGGTGGTGGTGAAGCACTGGAATGAGGTGGTAGAATTTCCATCTTCAGAGGTTTTTAAGGCCCGGCTTGACGAAGCCCTGGCTGGGATGATTTAGTTAGGGTTGGTCCTGCTTTGACCAGGGGGTTGTACTAGATGACCTCCTGAGGTCTCTTCCAACCCTAATCTTCTATGATTCTATGAACTGAGACATACCCAGATGATCCTAGCAACTAACCCCACATACTGTGCTAGAGGAAAGTGAAAAAACTCTAAAAGGTCCCTGCCAATCTGACCTTCCCAACACCACATATGGCAATCAGTTAGAACCTGAGCATGTCAGCATGAACCAGCCAGCCAAGCATCTCCAGCCATGACCATCTCTGATGCTTCAAAGGAGAGAGATAGGAATAACGGCTTTCCTCTCATGTATCCATTTGGTGACCCTGTGCAGTTTTTCAGATTGCCATTGTATGCATCTTTTAGCTATTACAAAAGCTAAATGTATAGAACTGTATGTATTCACACCCCTGGGTGTATGTCTGAAAGATGAAGGAAGCAGAATCCACTGGAGTTTCAACCCAAATGGGAGCGTATTAAGGAAACAGGCCAGACATTCATTCATTTCAATAATGGTGCAGCTGCTTACAGTAGGGTCTGAATTTGGCCCAGCCACACTATCTTTCATATTTGAAAGGCCACTTCATTTGAAGGTACCCTCCCATTTTACATCTCTGACAAATTTGGTTGAAAGGAGGCAAGTATTAGAAAGGTTAAGTAGACTTGTTGCAAAGTGCTGTAACAGTAATCAATGTCTTGTCTCTCTGAATGTAATCAAATGAATAATGTGTACACAAAACTAGTTGACAGGCTTTATACAATTAAGACACAGTTCCTTAATGCTCCAAAGTATATAAAGCATAGATCAGCTTGTTGAAACTGTTAGTTCACCAAAAGGGAGCCCAAGCACTTAACCAATCTCAATAGGCCTTTATTGTGAGTATATTAAAATGCAATCAACATTATTGCTATTATAAAACAAACTGTAAAAGAAAATACCTTGCTTCTCTCATGGAAGATTAAGCCATTCAGTGCTGCCTCTCTCAGACCTTTCAGTGACAATGCATTGAGAGGCACTAACAGAATGGAGACGGTTGTGAGCAAGTCCGAAAAAGACTGAGTAGCTGTTTAATCGCTTAATTTGCATTAGACTAGATTTTATTTAATCAACCAATCGCTAGAAAACGGTGTTAACTCATCTACTGTTAATAGCATCCCAAATGCACATACACACAGTCTTGATTATATGGCATGTTTTGGAAGTTCATTATATTAATGTTTTCTGCACTATTCATTTTCTCCATGTACATTTCACATTTTTCCAGTAGTTATGAGTTGCCCAGGCTGGTGCAGAACGTCTTCCAGAGAAACATGCTTTTCTTTATTCTAGTGTATTTTCACCATTGTCAAGTGCTCCATACCTATTCTCCAAGTATAACAAATACACACAGTGTATATAATGCTTATTGCTAAAGACACCACCCCCATCCCCAGTGCTTGGGACACCACATAACAAAACCATTTTTAAATATACATGAAAGCATTGTAACAAAAATCACCCTTGTTAAAGTGATTACATGGTGACTCAATACAAAAGAAAAAAGATAAAATAAAATACAGGAGCAATGGTCATCCCCAAAATTAATAAAAACCTCGACTTTAACAAATGCTCTCTAAAAGGAGGGAATGTCCTGAAAGATTTCACAAGGCATAAAGTGCGGGCGGGGTAGAAAAGAAGTTCCACGCTTGGGACTCACCCCAGCAAAGGTACATTGTGGTGTGAGGGTAGGATCACTACAGGCAACTGTGACAGAACTTATATACCCATCAGGACCTGCAATAAAGTTAAGGCTGTCCAGCATTTCCATTATAAAGACCTGATTTTCAGCTGCTTATAACTGCAAACTTTAACCATCCAGGCTGAAATTCTCCAAGCCAGGGTCTGTCTGCCTCAGGCTGATTTTTTTAAATGTTTCATCAAACTAGTTCTTGTTTCTGTGATCAAGGTTACATGAAATGACATTGTTTAGCTCATGCTAAAAAATTCTTATAGCAGTTTAGCTGAGAAGCTCTAGAGCAGTGGTGGGCAACCTGCGGCACGGCTGCCGCTTCCCGCAGCTCCCATTGGCCGGGAACAGCAAACTGCAGCCACTGGGAGCTGCGGGCGGCCGTGCCTGCGGATGGTCGATGTAAACCAACTGTCTTGCAGCCCGCCAGCGGATTACCCTAATGGGCCGCAGGTTGCCCACCACTGCCCTAGAGCCTCTATGCCTTGGAGCAAGGGCTAGGAATTTGGCATGGAGGGGGGTGTCAGAAAGATGTTTAGTGCAGAGAAAATCCACCCAAATTTGGCCAAATTACAAGCCTCTGAAAGTCACCTGTGCACATGCTCAGCAGAGATTTGTTAGAGACCTACCTAACAATAATCTCAGAAGATTCTGTTTACACTGCATATTCCACCTTCACAGAGCTCACCGAGCATGCTCCAGCCCAAGGCTGCAGGGGCGGAGCAGAACTTTCCCTACAATTGCCTCACACCTCCCCCTCCACCAGCCAAAGGCTGATGGAGCAGCAGAACAAAGCATGGAAACCTTCTCTCCAGTGTTTAAATGGTTTCCCAGGTGACACCCAGGCAACAGGAGGAGGACACAGCCTAACGCAACTGCACAAGGCTGAGGAGCAGAGGGGTGGCGGGGGGAAGCGGAGGGGAAACAGGTGTAAGCTAGAGGATGGACAGGAGCCGAGAAACAAGATAACAAGGGGAGATGCTAGCAGATAAGCAAAAAGGGTCAAGCTGGGAAGTGGGAGAAAGGGGCACAAGAGTCTGTATCCACTTGAGAATGCTCCCCTCTGAAGTGTAAAACAAAACATAGGGACTTTGAGTCTCAACATTCACTGTCTAGCAAAAATCCGTGAAACCCACTTGCAAAGTCTCTCATCTTCCTTAGTGGTTGGTCCAGAGAGGATAATAGCCAACTACTATTACTAGTTACTCTATGAGCTCAAGTGGCAGAAGTCTGCTGTGGATTTAAAGGTTCCAACACTGCTGAGTAGCCCTGTGTGTTGTCACAGTATGGCTTTGTATGATGGAATTCCTTTTTGTTTTCTTTTCCCTTGTTTGCTTTTTAAAAAAAACCCTTAAATTAAGTTAAAAAACTACATTAAAAAAACCCACTGTAAACGACTGCAAAGTCAAGCATCCTGAAGTTAGGAAATAAGCTTGTGCAACCTTAATTTGGTCCCTTTGTGCACATGCATTGTGATACAGTCTTTAGTTACAGCATCACATACTATTCCCCCCCCCCCCCACTTCTGCCTCATTCAGTGCACAGTGTAAATGGTGCTTTGGGAATGAATCAGAGTTGTGTAGTGAATGAGGCAGTTGATTGTAAGATGCCTGCCTCATTTTTTGAGGAGGGCATGTGGTGAAAGAGGCAAAGAACTGCAGGATGAGAAAGGATAGTTGTCATAAATATAAAGGGAAGGGTAACCATCTTTCTGTCCACAGTGCTATAAAATCCCTCTTGGCCAGAGGCAAAACCCTTTCACCTGTAAAGGGTTAAGAAGCTAAGATAACCTCGCTGGCACCTGACCAAAATGACCAATGAGGAGACAAGATACTTTCAAAGCTGTGGGAGAGGAGGAAACAAAGGGTCTGGCTGTCTGTGTGATGCTTTTGCCGGGAACAGATCAGGAATGCAGCTCAGAACTCCTGTAAAAAGTTAGTGAGTAATCTAGCTAGAAATGTGTTAGATTTCCTTTTGTTTAAATGGCTGGTAAAATAGCTGTGCTGAATGGAATGTATATTCCTGTTTTTGTGTCTTTTTGTAATTTAAGGTTTTGCCTAGAAGGATTCTCTGTGTTTTGAATCTGATTACCCTGTATTTACCATCCTGATTTTACAGAGGTGATTCTTTTATCTTTTCTTTAATTAAAATTCTTCTTTTAAGAACCTGACTGATTTTTCATTGTGCTTAAGATCCAAAGGTTTGGGTCTGTGTTCACCTGTGCAAATTGGTGAGGATTTTTATCAAGCATTCCCCAGGAAAGGGGGTATAGGGCTTGGGGGGATATTTTGAGGGAAGATGTCTCCAAGTGGGCTCTTTCCCTGTTCTTTGTTTAACATGCTTGGTGGTGGCAGTATAGGGTTCAAGGACAAGGCAAAGTTTGTACCTTGGGGAAGTTTTTAACCTAAGCTGGTAAGAATAAGCTCAGGGGGTCTTTCATGCAGTCCCCACATCTGTACCCTAGAGTTCAGAGTGGGGAAGGAACCTTGACAATAGTCTTATGATCAAGACAACTGGATAACATTCTGAGACTTGGAACCGATCCCTGCTTTGCCACAGAGTTCCTATGTCATTTAGACCAAAATTCATAGGTGGCCACTAATTGCGTTTCTCTCTTTTTTTAGGTGCCCAACAGGGAACATTTGGGGCCAGATCTGCAGAAGTGCCGAGCACTTACAACCATAACTGAAGTCAGTGCGTCCACTGAACATATAAAGTGCTATAAAAATGCTCTGAAAAAAATCAGGTCCCAAGTGTTTCACAAGTTGGGCGCCTGACAATTCTGGCCTTAATCTCTCTATTAGTCAGTTTCCCATCTTTAAAGTGGAGTTGATGATACCAAGTTACCTTAAAGTTTGTGAAGCATTCACAGTGATGTGTGTCATAGAAAAGCCCATGAAGAAATGAATAATTTTGTATGCAGTGCATGGTTTAAATGGTATGTGGTAAATATTATGCATTTGGCTACCAAATGAATGAGGGTAAACAGAAATATTGAAAAGTTACTCATTCAGGGGGCCCTACCTATTCTGTGCACTGAAAGAGGCAGGGTCCTGTGGGGGTTAAAAAAAAGTGACACCTTGCAAGTTAAAAGACTAACACAATGCATATGGCAGAAGGCTGAATTGCATAGGCAACCTTAATTCAGACATTGCCTAACTTTTGATAACTTAACTTTGAAATCATACAATACTTTACAGTAGTTTTTTATATGTAATATATATTTAAAAGTGTAGGCCCTGTCTACACCAGTGACCACCTCCTAGTACCTGCATCTGAGACTACCTCCGGGTCCTCAGCTCATACAATAGCCACCTTTTAGGGATAATATTCTCACATCTCATTGTAACTTTGCTGTGATGGGCCCAAAGCAAGGAACCTCCTTCCTACAACTTGAAACCTCAGTCCATCTCTCCGTTCATTACATTTACAGTTATATGGTATCTCACACATGCATACACACATTGTATAACATAGCACCAGTATGTACTGTATATATTATGTAAATACTATATACTTTGTTTCAAATTGTGTATTAAGATTTACATTTATTCTATACAGTACACACAGTACCACATTTAAGGATATGCAGCAAGTGAATAATATATAACAGTATCTTGCATATCCAAAGAGCAAGTAGATCACTTTCAACAGCTGTTAATACTGTGAAATGTGTCTTAAGTAGTCATTTAAGCATCAAATTATCCTGTATAAAACATCAGGGTATTTTGTTAAATATTGTAGTGGTTGCCATAAAAAAAAAATCAACATTCCTTGACATATTCCTCAGTTACTGTATTTCCTCTTTAAATTATGGAGATGCCAATCCCTGCTACATAATTAAGATTGAGTTGAGTTTTGGAATTAATACAGAGCTGTAATATTGCCAATACAATGGTGTGGTAACTGCTGTTGAAGAGACCTTTTAAATAGGTATCATTCTATAACGGACATTGACACATTTGGTTTAGAGTTAAAATATTAATAGCATTAACTTACTTCAGACATGACAGATAAATTAGAGACTTTAGTGTAGGCATTTTTCAATAAGCACCCGGGCATGCTACTTTCTCTCTCAATGATGGTTTTATGATGAAAGTTCAAAGCACTAGTTTCAACATCTTTTGTACACAATCCATTTTTGGCACACTTTTCGATTATCTGAATCCTCAACAGGCATTCAAAAATTCAAGTTTTTTATGGTCTGTACATTATTTTAATCACTTTTTTACATTTCTGTATAGGACAGGAAGAAAAGTGGAAAATGTAGAGTATGCAGAATAGTTTTAATAAACAGTTTTACATACAGTACCTTACATATAGAACAGTGTGTTTGCAAATTTAAATAATTTTTGAATGTACAGTGGCTTGTACTCTTATCAAAAGGTAAATTCAAGTTTACTGTCTATCGGTTCTAAAATGCATTTATACAGAAAACTAGAACTGATAAACAGTTGTGAGGCATAAAATGTTCAAGTATCTTATGTCATCAATTAAATAGCCTCCTTTTAACAGTCATATTTTACAAATTCCAAAACCTGTACATACATTATTTTCAATTTTATAAACTGCTTGTTAAAAGGTAACATTTCATGTTAACCACCAGTTCTTATAGTCTATAGTAATAAAACTAGACATGTGTAGATATAAATATGTATATAGTATGTACATATGAATGTGTGTGTATATACACATATACCTACACATACATATGTAGCACTGGGTGCAGTGACAACTTACATGAGCACAGGCAAAGAGAAGGTCCTGAGCTCAAAATCCAGCAAGAGCTAACAGAGCAACTAGGTTGCCTTTGGTTTCATGATGTTTTACTCACTTATGACTGAAGCTAAAAGTTTTATAAAAACATCCTAGATAATGTATCTTTGCGATATTCAATCTAGTGGTTTAATAATTCACAGCCACAAACAAGCAGTTTTGCTGCTTTTGTCATTCCTCATCCCAGATGAGGTTGGTAAAGATTCAGAGGGCTAACACCAAGCTGAACTACCCAGGACAAAATGTACTTGGAATCCTGAATACTGCAATAGAACGTAAAAAAATATAAACTAGATACAATTTTGGATGGATTGCTGGCACCAGGTAGAACTTTGAACAAAACTCTCCATGTATTTCACTATCTTCAAACTGTCATCCCAGTGGTTTTAGTATTATTTGGCACATCTGACCACTGTTTGCCACTTACGTTTTTAAAAGAGCCTAAGGGTGCTGTAATGAGGATTTCCATTAAAAAAAATATTTATAAGGAGACCACCACATCCTGTTTCTTTCAAAAGTGAAGCAAATGTTTTCATTTTCCCAAATAACACTAATTAGATAAGAAATAGTTCATGGACTGCAAAAGATCAGTTACCTGCCTAAAACTTTGGGGGTGGACCAACTGTAGAGAGGCTATGGATCTCTCTGTGTCTGTATTTTCACTAGCAATGGGAGAAAAAATAATTACGATTGTACATTTTTCCCACTGACATTTGAGAGTTTGGCTCTTTCTGCTACTGACTATAAAATTATAGCATTTTCCATTGCAGAGATTTCTTGAATCTTCTTGTATGACCTGAAGGAGAAATTCTGTCACTTCACATGTCTTATTTATCATATTGTAGACCATGTCAATGTTCCTCAATATGTGACATATTGTAATTTGCATCTTGAATACAGAGTATTTAGCTTTTCAGTGTTAATTTCCTTACTCTAGATTTCCTTTCTTTTCTCCAAAGCTTCAGGCTAAAAATGTAATCAGCCCAGAACTAGACAAATATCCAGCTTTTTGCTGTCCTCCTGCCAGTCTTGTGGCTGATAAGAAAATTCACTGTAGAGAGCCTATTTTTATTCCTTTATTCTTCCTTTTGTCATACAGAGCACAGCGTGGCTATTTGCTGTACTTTCCCCATGTCAATTAAGAGCTGTTTGATACGTCGCTTGAGTTGAGGCAGTCTTGCAAGAGGATCGGGTGGTTCCAGCTCTCCAGTGAAGTCAAGCCAGCTTTCTAAAACTAAATTGAGAAAAATGTAAAAAAGAGTTTGATTAGAAAGGGATCTTCGGAAAAAGAGTGCTCAATCCTCCAAAGCTAGGTGTGTTGAAATGCAGTAAGGGTCATATCTTAGTGCCCTTGAAGTCAGTGGCAAAATACTTGAGGACTTCAACCTGACTAGGATTTGGTCCTAACTTGTCAACCCAAATTTAAATGGCTATTGTGCCCCACCCATGGCTCCATGCAAATCAGGTGTGTGACTGCCAATGATGCACCTCAGAATATTTCATGGCCAAACTCACTGCCCCGACGAAGAGCAGCCTATCATAAAAATTCAGAATACTTACACTATTTGTTGCTAGAGACATTCTGTATTTGAGTTTTTAGGTTCATACCCTTTCCAAATCTACTTCTTCTGTATGCTATTGAACATGGACCAACAACTATTCTTGTAAATGCTGTCAACTTGCCAAGCCCGAGGGCAGCAGGTAATTTGCATAAAATGGAGCATGCCTCTGCCATATGCGTCATTAATATGAAGGTGCAACTTACAGATACTCAGATCGTTATTTAAATGAAGACATTTTCTGAAGAATCAAATAATTCAGTGCTCCATGGAAATTTTCATTCTTTTACGCAGTTTAAAGTGTTCCCCTTATTAATCATTCCAATTACCTTGATAGCTAAATTCCAGTAATATAAAGGTATGTTAGGACAAATTAGCCAACAATATGTTGATGATACACATACAAAGAAAAGACTCCAGCTCACTGTCTCAGCTGTCACGATTCTGCACTAGTAAAAACTCAACAGGAATAAAAGGTTGTGAAGACTCACTTCTGTCACTAACTTTAAAACTTCAAAAACAGACTCCAACGAGAGACTGCTGAATTGCAATTAATTTGCAAACTGGATACAATTAACTTAGGCTTGAATAGAGACTGGGAGTGGATGGGTCATTACACAAAGTAAAACTATTTCCCCATGTTTATTTCCCCACTCCCCACCATTCCTCAGATGTTCTTGTCAACTGCTGGAAATGGCCCACCTTGATTATCACTACGAAAGGTCTTTTCCCCCCTGCTCTGCTGCTGGTAATAGCTCATCTTAAGTGATCACTCTCCTTACAGTGTGTATGGTAACACCCATTGTTTCATGGTCTCTATGTATATAAATCTCCCCACTGTATTTTCCACTGACTGCATCCGATGAAGTGAGCTGTAGCTCACGAAAGCTTATGCTCAAATAAATTTGCTAGTCTCTAAGGTGCCACAAGTACTCCTTTTCTTTTTGCGAATACAGACTAACACAGCTGCTACTCTGAAAACTAACTTTAACGTATCACTAAACAAAAACAGGGAGCAGGTGATATAAGACAGTCACTTTCAGAGTGGAATGTAACTTCTGAGTGAATTTCAGTGCTCATAAAAAAGAGGGATGGCAAGAGTCTAATCCCATTTTTCTAGAAACATAGTCAATGTACATGCAATCTGATCATAAACATTCCATCAGGGCTAACATTATTTTGTTTTAGATAAGAAATAATTAAGGACACAATAACTACACTTTGTTCAAACTCTCTTCATTTGTGAAGTGAGTCTCTACATGTGAAAACTAGGGCTGTGAAGCGATTAAAAAAAATTAATAGCGATTAATCACAGTTTTAATCGCACTGTTAAATAATACTGGAATACCATTTATTTAAATTTTTAGATGTTTTCTATATTTTCAAATATAGGCTATGGGCTCAGAGCTTCAGACCCTGCTGCTGTGCCCAGAGGTATGCAATTAACATGTTAAAAAATAATGAACACGTTAATTTTGTTTTCAGTTAACTTCAGGCGTTAACTGCAATTAATTTATAGCCCTAGTGAAAACTGAATGCATTCATCTATTACAACACTTAGTTCTACTGCATTATCTTTGTGTAAATTTGTTGTTATGAAGCCTGGTCTGCCTCCTTAATCCAGGCTATTACCAGTTTGTTTCTAAACCAATACACAGTAAACCACAGCTGAAGATGAAGACTTCTTTCCTCTTCCTTAGGTAACTGATCGATACTATTGTCCAAACAAATGCTATCAACTTCAGGAGATGCTGCAGATTAGTAGGCAGAGCATGGGAGCAGGAGCCTGCTATTTCATGGTCTCACTGCGTGGCCTTGGGCAAGTCATGTTGGCCCAGGTTTTTGAATTATTGTTAATGCTGCATGCCTGGGCTTGACTTCAGACATTCTGAATACTCATTACCTCAGTAGATGTTGCAGACGCGCAATATCTCTGAAAAATCAGACTCTGGGTGTCCCAGAACACCCAAAATTATAAACACCTTTAAAAATTTGGGCCTTAATCACTGTCTTAGTCATCTACACGACAGAGGTAATGGAGACTTCTTCTTGTTCATTTAATGCTTTGAATGTTCAAAGCTCTATATAGATTAATGTCAATACTTCGTAACAATGTAATTACCATCAACTTCTTTTTCAATAAGGTCCATTCTGCTGGTGACTTCATTCTGTACATTCTCTATGTGGGTAAGGAGATTTAGCTGCCATTGAAGATGGGAATCCACTTGTTCTTCTGATCCTTTTTTTTCATTACAAGCACACACCACATTCCCTTCAACAGTGTTCTTCTCCATAGGACCAACAAAAAGCAACAAAGTTAGCCCTTAATAAATGATTTATTTTCAATTTCAATCCACTTGGATTCTGGTTTTGATTATAATACTTGGTACAAATGCCCTGAATGATGGAGTTTTTAATTGTACCACTATTTCACAAAAACATAAACATGCATATCGGTATGCAGTTTTTAAGAACATTAGTGGACAATAAGAGCAATAAAAATGTCAAACAAATGAGTACATCTAGCTTTCAGGATTACCACAGACACAGAAGAGTGTTAGCAGAAAGCACCGGGGGGGAGGCAGTGTTACGTTCACAAGATCTTGTACTCAGTTTAGTGCAATAGGAGTGGCCCACGTCTCACCACTCTGCTACATAAACTTCTAACTCTTAATTCATGAAGTGCTGAATGCACCAGTGAACCATTATCCAATTCAAGCAAGAGTCCAGGATTTTTTTGTGTTTGCTGTCCAACAGAGGATGAAGTGAAAATACAAAAATGGAATTATATCTAAAATCCCAAAGTTCGTCTGTTAAATTAATTTCAAAGTTCATAGCATAGTGACAGACAGATTTAAGACAAAAGTACATTCCTTCTTCAGACTGCTGTCATCTTGTGTAACTTGCTACCATGGCTAGATCACATGGCTGGAGTATTAAAAGGGGCCACATAATTGTGTGACCAGTAACACGTATAGCTATGAGAACTAAAAGCAAATCTAATCATTTTCTTCCCATGTGTATTATTCCATAATGTGCCAGGTACATTCCTGTGAACTCTCAAGTAATAGCTATGACCAAAGACAAGATACCCGATTTAACAGCTCAAAGGCATGAGCTAGAAGAGCAATTCCCATAAATTTATATAAACAGTTGATTTTAACTGTAGAATCTGATAATCCCACTTATGCTGAAGCTGGCTGTCTGACTATCGGTGATTATTGCATTTCAGACAGAAACTCAACGACAGTATTAGTTTGACAGTACACTTGTTAGTCACTATCAGTGCAAGCCAGCTGCCACAGAAAAGAGTGAACAGTGTTATAAATATATTGATAGAACTGTTTGAGAAACCCACATTCTTGAGACTATTTTGCATCTGAAAAGTTTTTTTCCTGCAAAAGTGGCCTGAAATGATTTATTAAACAAAAATGTTCTCTTCCTGTTTTTCTGAAGCTTTAGAAATATGAATCCCACCAAATCTGGACTTTCCTGCTTTTGCTGGTCTATGGGTGGGTCCTGGAGATGACATACTGGGATTAACACTTGCAAGGGGGACAAGCTATTTAAGATTATGGACATTGTTGGCATAAGAACAAATGAGGGGGACCTATATGACACGTGAGATCAGGAAGGGCATTCTAACAGTAAGGGGCAGTGCAGAAGAAACATTTGGTGGAGAAGGACACAAAAGGAACATGATGGAAGTGTGCAGGGTGGGGCGGGGTTGTGTAAAGGCTTAAGAGTTAGGAGTGAGGAAACAATGTTAGGGGTGTCCATAAATGACAGAACATGTTTTGGTGAGACATGGTGGATGAGGTAATATCTTTAATTGGACCAACTTCTGTTGGTCAAAAAGACAAACTTTCGAGCTACACAGGGCTCTTCATTTTCTGGTAATTTTCAAGACCTCCTCCAGCCCCCTGTAACACTTTGTAACACTGAAACAAACATGCAAAATTAAGGACACACCCACCCTCTAATGTGTTTTGTAAATTTACGAACAACCTATGATGTTTAAGGAGAAGCAGAACTACTAAAAGGGGACTCAACATTGGATATCATCTGAGTGTGTGAAAGAGGATCGGCAGTAGAACTGTGCATAGATTGGAGATGTGGAAACAAGAATCTGAAAGGCCAAAGGTTGCAATAGTTTATGAGGGACATTGCCAAGTCATAGTCAAGGGTTTGAGGAACAGGGTTGGAGAGGAGAACTGTAGCAAATATAGTTGCTCTTGAGTCAGTTCAAAACAGTTACAAATAATTCAAATTGTGTCTCAAGCCAACTTGAAAACAGAGCTGAAATCAAAATTAGGATAAATGCAAAATGGTTTACATAGGAAATAGGGATGTAAAATCTTAACCGGTAAGCATTAGTCTTATCAGTTAAACCACCTTAACCGGCTGGCCAGCCCCAGCAGCCTCACCCACCAACCTAACTCAATACAGAGTACAGTAAAGTTAGACAGACAGTACTTTATGGTGCTGTGAAAGTAGTGGAAAGGAAAGGAAAGGACTAGCTGACCCAACAGATTCCCCTTCCAAACCCAATAAATTGTGTAACCAAAAGCCAGTAAAGTCATAGCTGAGATTCCCAAGGAAACCTGAATTCTGCAAAAATGGATATATGGATTGTTTTTCCAAGATATGACCCTATTCAGCAATATTTCATATTGCTGCATGTTTCCTTAAGGCACACACTCAATATGTAAACTATATTATTGAACAAACAATTAACTCCAAGCAAGGTGAAGTGTAATTTTTCATTAAAGAATATATAAAATTTATGTGCCACCTTTAAAACCAATCTATGTTTGTGACACCAGAGTACCAAGAAAAAAAAGTAACTGAATAATTTTTTTAATGGGGGAGACAAGTGGGTGAGTCTAAGTGTTTTATTTATTTTCAAATACTTGGGTATCTCAAAAAGCTTAAGAAGTTTTTTTGTTTTAAGTCCGCTTCTAGAGTAAAACCAGACACTTTCAGCTCTCCTGCCCAAATCAATGGTATAAGGAAGTTACAAGCAACCAAAAACAGGTTTAGAGGTGTGGGCACAACCTTTACTATAGCACAGGGGTGGGCAAACTTTTTGGCCTGAGGGCCACATCTGGGTATCAAAATTGTATGGCGGGCCATGAATGCTCACAGTTCTCAGCCAATGGAAGCTGCGGGGGAGGCGCTTGGGGTAGGGGCAGCGTGTGAAGCCCCCTGGCTGCCCCTACACGTAAGAGCCAGAGTGGGGACATGCTGCTGCTCCTGGGAGATGTGCGGAGCAGGGCAAGCCCCGAACCCCGCTCCCCGTCAGGAGTTCGAGGGCCAGATTAAAAAGTCTGAAGGGCCAGATGCGGGCCCCGGGCTGTAGTTTGCCCACCCCTGCTATAACATCACTAAGATAAAACTCTAGAAAAATCAGCACTGTTTATATTAGATGGGATATACATTTCAAAGAACTCTGTCTAAAACATTTGTTAGAAATCTTTACATGAGCAGAAACAAGCTTAGTTAATTGTTAACCTATATGACTGAATTCTGGGGGGAAGTTTGGTGTCAAAAGAAAAATACAGACCAACGGTAAATATAATTAGAAATCCAGGTTTTAAAAACTGTTAAGAGACCAAAAGACAACAGAGAGAAACTAACAATTTGCTCTTCAACCAATTTCTTCTGTTACGAGAAAGACAACAGGTTCCGTTTACACTCTTCATTTTAAATACAGGGAATCAATCTCTCTCAAACCAATAGAATCTTTCAAAATGGAAAAAAAATAAGTGCAACCACAAACTTTTCTTGAATACAAGAAATCTAGGTGTACTGGAACTTCTTAGTTATATTAACAGAACAACCTCCCTATAAGCAGAAATCCACTGTAGCTGGGTTTACAAATTAGCAATTAATGAATTAAGACCATAAGAACGGCCACAGTGGGTCAGACCAAAGGTTGATCTAGCCCAGTATCCAGTCTTCTGACAGTGGCCAATGCCAGCTGCCCCAGGGGGACTGAACAGAACAGGTAATCATCAAGTGATCCATCCCCTGTCACCCATTCCCAGCTTCTGGCAAACAGAGGCTAGGGACACCATCCCAGCCCATCCTGACTAATAACCATTGATTAACCTATCCTCCATGAACTTATCTAGTTCTTTTTTGAATGCTGTTATAGTCTTGGTCTTCACAACAGCCTCTGGCAAGGAGTTCCACAGGTTGACTGTGTGTTGTGTGAAAAAATACTTCCTTTTGTTTGTTTTAAACCTACTGCCTATTAATTTCACTTGGGGACTCCTAGGTTTTGCATTAGGAGAACCAGTAAATAACAAACACTAACTTACTTTCTCCACATCGGTCATGATTTTATAGATTTTCAATCAGATCCCCCCTTAGTTGTCTCTTTTCCAAGCTGAAAAATTCCAGTCTTATTAATCTCTCCTCATATGGAAGCCGTTCCACACCATTTTTGTTGCCCTTTTCTGAACCATTTCCAATTTCAATATATCTTTTTTGAGATAGGGCGACCACATCTGCATGCAGTATTCTAGATGTGGGCGTACCAGGATTTATATAGCGGCACAACTGTATTTTCTGTCTCATTAACTATCCCTTTCTTAATGGATTCCCAACATTCTGTTCACTTTTTTGATTGCCGCTGCACATTGAGTGGATGTTTTCAGAGAACTATCCACAATGACTCCAAGATCTCTTTCTTGAGTGGTAACAGCTAATTTAGACCCTATCATTTTATATGTATAACTGGGATTATGTTTTCCAATGTGCATTACTTTGCATTTATCAACACTGAACTGCAACAATCTGAATCCAACCTACTTCACCATAATGAGTTTCACTACATTAAACTTCATTTTAAGTGGGTTGTACTGATCCATCTGCCTACCAACAGAACACATATCAGTTGATAATTCAGTAATGGGCATGCATTTCTAACTATTTTATGAGTTTGATCTTTTTAAACTCTAAGTCTATACATATGAATAATGAGTTTTACCTGCTCACTCACGCCATCTTCTTTTAAAGAATATTGTAAACAGTTTTTATCATCTGAACAAAATTCCTGATCTTCCTCAAAGCTACTTATATCTTCATCATCTGAGCTCACATGGTCAGTAACTGATTTGCAGTCCTGACCAAAACTCTGTGGTTTCTGGTAACTGTGCTCGCTTATAATGTAAGTTTCTTCCATCTTCTGGGGTAAACTAGGGGGTGGTTCTTTATGGCTTTGGTTGTGACATGTCCTTTCAGATGGATTAACAGTATCTGGCAAAGTCACTATTTTCTTCTCTACCCCAAATGTTACTTGCTCTTGCTCTTTTCGTACCCCTGAGCAAGCCCAAAGATGAAGATCAGGGTGATGTGTATTTCTGGAAAGAAGGGGAGAAGAAAAGTTAGTATAGAACAATCACTTTCAGCAATGAAATCTTTTAAAATTTTTAAAAAGAAAAGGAGGACTAGTGGCACCTTAGAGACTAACCAATCTATTTGAGCATAAGCTTTCGTGAGCTACAGCCACTGAATTTATATTAATAGGCAATTTTTTAGGGGAACATAATTGCCAAAGATTTCACCCAGCATTGCTGTGGACCTCTTAATTTTTGGTAAATCCATTATGCCCTGGTCATCTTCAATAAGTGTGTTATGATAAAACAAAAACGCGAATGTTCCCAAAATGTCCAATCCTGTCAGGTGCTGAGCACTATCAACTGTCATTGAAATTGAGGGTTTCCATCGCCTGGCATGATTGGACCAGTAAACAGTACAGTGGAAGTATAATTAGAAAATTATACAAAATAGAATGTTAAACATTCAGGCTTTGAAGAAATGACTGTATCCCAAATTAGTCAACCACATAATGATTGTTCAGAAACAAAGCACGGTCTACTAGCTAAAGTACAGCAATGGTGATCTGGGCTCTGTTCTGTACTGATTAATTGTTGGACCTTGAGCAAGTAACAACCAATCTGTGACTCAGTTTCCCCTTCTGTAAAATTGGCATAGTAATTCCTAATTTCACACAAATATTTCAGAGAATTAATTTAATACTATTTATTAAGAACTCAGATGATTAGATACAGGGGAATAGATTGCACGTGGCAGATTTAGAAGCGCAGAAGTCTTCATTTCGCTTTCAAACCGGATTAGACAGATACTACCACATGCAAGTTTTGGATAAAAAACAGTCTTTAGCCTCTTCAAATATTTTTCCTTTGTCTCAGTATTCATCATTAACAGTCGATAATAGGAGCACAAATTCACATTCTAGTGTTTAATGGAGAAAACAATTACATTCCCACTTACCAATATTTTTTTCCCCTCAGGCTTTGTCAAGAAGTGCAGACCCTGGATTCCTCCTCACTGAGCTGAGAGGAAGAGGAGGAACCCAGCTTCTGCCCTGTCACAGACTGAGCTCCAGAATGCATCATCATCTATCCAAACAATTCAAATTGTGCCATGACATTTTCAATAATATACTGTCTAAATGTGTACCGATATACATCTGTTTGGTCTTTAATATAAAAATTAAAAAGAAAATTATCTTGACATACAAACTAAGCTCTCACTTCCTCTATAGATGGGGAGGAAACACCAGACCCACACTTACTTTAGTATCCCAATCTTCAGCTGCAGTCCATGTAGTATTTCAGTTACACCATACACATCAGCCAGCAGGTGGTGTGTTGACACTATCTTTTTGGCATTAAGGTGAGAGTAATTTTCTTTTAAAAATGATAATCCACACATATGCCCATTGTTTAACCAGTCCTTATCGTAAAGATATTTGGCACTCCATCTCTGACCTACGGGTAAACAACAATCAGAATTTATTCTCCAGAAGTGACTACAACAGTCAGAAGTGGTATCCTTAAAATATTTTCTGACATCCTTTCTTTTATCACGGGTTTTCAACGAAATTTACATCATCAAGTATATGACACAGTATACTGTCTGACTTCTATAAATGACGTTTTAAAAGAAAATCAAACAAATAACTCAGTACTCAAGCGTGAGGAAGTAAAAAACATTCTATACCATGATACACCTGTGAACTGAATTTGAAACTGAATTAAAGTTGTGAATTATAATCGTCTTTTCTAAAAAGATATCCACTTACTGAAAAGATAATTTAAGATACCAAGAACTTAAGATTAAAAAAAGAGATGGGACATTTAAATGGATATCAAGAATATTCAGAGCTATGATAAATAACAACAAAAAATTTGAAAAGCTATTAAACCTTGTGCTTCAGGGCAAGACAGGATCTTAAATCAGGATTTACAGCAGGATTCTACACTTTCCTCTGAAGTATCTTATACTGACCCCTGTCAGAGACAGATATTGGACTAGATGAACTTAGGTCTGATCCAGTCTGGTGACTTCTGTTTCTATACCGCAAGTAGGAGTGAACCCTAAGTAGCTTAACTGATCACCTTACTTTTATACCAATTTAATCATCATAAAAATAATTGCATCCCTAATTATTCCCAGAACTATATAGTACTTTCACTTTGCAACTGTTAAAAATAGTTACTCACCTTCCTGTTACTGTTGTTCTTTGAAATGTGTTGTGTGTGTCCAACACACTGTAGATATGTGCGTGTCACAGCACGGTGCTGGAGTGTTTTCCCTAGTAGAACCTGGAGGGGAGGCCCTGCTCATTCTTTGGCTTCCTCATGCTCTGAACTGAGGGTATAAAGGGTGGAGTCGCCCCAATCATCCTTCAGTTCCTTTGCACTGGGATCCCAACTATAGACTCCAATGCCTGGAGTCTGAGGATGGGCCATGTAATGGACATATGCAACACATCTCAAAGAACAGCAGTTACGAGAAAACGAGTGTTTGCTTTTTCTTCTTCGAGTGCTTGCATATCAACATTACACTGCTGGCAACCCCCAAGCCATTGTCATTGATTCCAAGGCCAGAAGGGACCATTGTGATCATCTAGGTTGACCTTCTGTGTAACACAGGCCATAGAACCTCCCCAACATAATCCCCAGAGCAGATCTTTCAGAAAAACATCCCATCTTGATTTTAAAATGGTCAGTGATGGAGAATCCACCACAACCCCTGGTAAATCGTTCCAATGGTTAATTACTCCCACTGCTAAAAATTTACACTTTATTTCTAGTCTGAATTTGTCTAGCTTCAACTTGCAGCCATTGCATCAGCGGTGGTGTGGCTTGGAGTGTCTTCAGAAGAAGGACTGTAGGACTGCTTTCCCACATTCGTGTCTTGCCTTGATGCTGCAGTAATTGCACAGTGTCTAGAAAAGGTGCAGACAGAGGACCACACTGCTGCTCTGCAGATGTCCACAATAGACACATTTCCACAAACGCAGCAGAGGCCAAGTGAATTCTTGTTGAGAGAGGTGACAGCTTCTAAGGAAGGAATACTTTGGGCAGCACAGCACTTCACAATGATGGTGTTAATCCATTCAGAGAGTTGGTGCTCTGGAATAGGGTGACCTCTCATTTGTTCTGCACAGGATATAAAGATACGGGGGAAAAACCTGAAAGGGCTTTGGTCTATCCAGATAAAAGGTTAGAGTGCAGCACACATCTAAAGCATGTAGCTTTTGTTTGTCCTTCTGAGCATACGGCTTTGGGAAAAAACCTTGCAAATATATAGGCTGATTTAGGTAGAAATCAGATACCACCCTGGACAGAAACTTGGGGTGTGGCCTAATCTGGCCCTTGTCATTGTACAAAATAGCACATGGAGGCTCTGTCACAAGGGCATGCAGTTCCCCCATACTTCTAGCAGAGGTGGTGGCCACTAAAAAGGCTATTTTTGCTGAGAGGTGTAATAAGGTGCAGGAGGCTAAGGACTCGAATCCTTAGGACAAAATCTTAACCTTATTTATCGGTATAAGATGGGGACTAATCAGTTGGAAGTGACAGAGGAGAAGAAAGACCTGGGTGTATTGGCTGATCACAGGATGACTGAGAGCCACAAATGTGATGCAGCCATGAAAAAGGCTAACAGTCCTAAGATGCATCAGGTGAGGTATTTCCAGCAGAGATTGGAAAGTGTTAGTATTATTATACAAAAGGCACTGGTGAGACCTCACCTGGAATACTATGTGCAACTCTGGTCTCCCATGTTTAAGAAAGATAAATTCAAAGTGGAACAGGTGCAGAAAAGGGCTAACTAGGATGATTCAAGGAATGGAAAACCTACTTTATGAGAGGAAACAAAGAGCGAGGCTTGTTTAGCCTAACCAAAATAAGGCAGAGGGGAGATAGGATTGCTCTCTATAAATACATCAGAGGGATAAATACCAGGGAAGGTGAGAACTTATTTACGTTAAGCACCAATGTGGACACAAGAACAAATGGATATAAACTGGCCATCAACAAGTTTAGGCTTGAAAAGAGTGATGTTCTGGAACAGCCTACAGTGGGAGCAGTGGGGGAAAAAAAACTTAACCAGGTTTCAAGACTGATCTTGACAAGTTTATGGAGGGGATGGTATGATGAGACTGCCTCCGATGGCATGTAGCAGATCTACAACTGCTAGCAGCAAATATCTCTAATGGCCAGTGATGGGACATTAGATGGGGAGGGCTCTGATTTACTACAACAAATTCTTTGCCATGTGTCTGGCTAGTGGGTCTTGCTCACATGCTCAGGGTTTAACTGACTGCCATATTTGGGGTCAGGAAGGAATTTTTCCATGGGTCAGATTGACAGAAACCCTGGGAGTTTTTTGCCTTCCTCTGCAGCATGGGTCACTTGCAGGTTTAAACTAGTGTAAATGGTGGATTCTCTGTAACTTGAAGTCTTTAAATCGTGATTTGAGGATTTCAGTAACACAGCCAGAGGTTATGGGTCTATTACAGGAGACGGTGGATGAGATTCTGTGGCCTGCAATGTGCAGAAGGTCAAACTTAAAGGTCCTTCAGGCCTTAAAGGTCTACAAGTCTGCGAGGAAACAGTGAAGGCTTCCTAGCTATCGGTACTGTGCTAGGACATGGAGGTTTAGATATTGTCATGGAGACGGCAGATGAATGGGATATTGGTCCCGAGACAGATGAGGCCGAAACAGACCCTGCTGTCGATGCTGATAAGTATGGCACCTGCAAGAGGGCTGGTGGAGGATCTCTGCCCTTATTCAGTGGTGAGGTCAGTACTGAAAAACACAATACCTCTCTCACAGCCACATAGGCCTTTGGTGTTGTCAGCATGGGTCTCTGACATGACCCTTGTCCAAGCACTTTAAACAGTAGAGAGTGCAGGTTACTGACAGGCACTGGCAGATGACAGCTGGAGCGGGGCTTAAAAACAAGGACCTTCGCATAGGCCTCCCTGGTACTAGGCAAGTCCCAGAAGCCAGCCGAATCCACAGAAAACAAAATAAAATTGATTAAAGAGAAAAGAAAAAAGGACAAAACAATAAGTATCACTATGTAAAAGCTAACTACTTGCAACTTAGTCACAAAGGAACGAGGCTGTAAACACAGAAACGCTCTCACTACCAATCACAGGAAGTAAGAAGGAACTAAAGAATGAGCGGAGTGATTCAACTCTTTATACCCTCGGTTCAGAGCACAAAGAAGCAACGGTGTGGGAGGGGCCGCCCCTACAGGTGCTGCTAGTGAAAACTCTCCAGCTATGGTACACAAGAAGTATACACACCTGTAGCATAACGGAAATGCACAAGCACGAGAAGAACAAAATTAGATGGAAACTTGCCGGTTCTTACACTAAAATGGTATGCACAGAATTATCTGTAGATAAAAGAACCAGCCTGATGGTAGCTATTAACACCTTCCAGCATAACACCCTCCATTACCCAGCCCATCCTCCCAATACAGTGTCAAATGCAGACATCCTGAATGATTCATCTCCTAGACAGAAAGAACAGAAAAGAAAAAAAAGAAAAAGTGGAGTTGGAGGAGTCAGGTGGGCAGGGAGGATTGGGTTAAACTGTGCCATCAGATGAGCAGTTCCAAATACTTTAAAGTCAGTGGCACACACTAATTTTATACCTTCAAATGCAAAATTCAACAGTGTCACATATACATGCCAGATTATAAAACTCAAGCGTCTTACAATCTAAAACATGGGACTGAATTTTCAAATTTCTGTGCTTAAAGTTAGGTGCCTAAGTCCATAATGGAGGCATCTAATTAAGTGGCCTATTTTTCAGAGATACTAAGCACCTTCACCTCCCATGGAAGTCAGTGGCAGTTATGAGTACTTATCACCCCTGCAAATTAGCCCACTTATTTAGATACCTAAATATATATTTAAATATGTATATTTTGTCCTCGTTTCTCCATCTGAGAAGACTAAACTGTTACTTGAATCTCCAGATGGGTGCGGTAGTAGGTATAGGTGTATAACTTGCCTGAAAGAACTCTAAACTTTCCTCCAAAAACATGTGTTTATGCTTTGAAGAACTGTGAAAATGGCATTGTGAAGTTATTTTTATTGTTTCAATTACTCCCAGATCAAATACACTCAGGTTACAAGTAGAATGGTTTTCAAATTGCCAGCCCTTGAAATTCCTGCTAAAATCTAAAAATCAAACTGTGTTTCTTCTGACTCATGCACCATCATCTGCAACAGTGATTCTACAGGTAAAATTCTGCCATTGGTTACACAATGAGGTTGCACAGATGTAACTGAATGCAGAAGTTGTCTGGCAATTTGCACTCCCTCAGAATTCATGTCCATTGCAGATTTTTTCTCCACGGAAAATACATTCTGCCTGAGAAGAACTGCAGTTCCACCTTTCGCCCACCAGAGGCCGCTGTTGCACCAGAACAGACAGCAGCTCACTGACAGGCAGCAACAGCCAGCTGCGTTCATCACAGCACGCTACCCGCAGAGCCAGGAGGCATGAGATATGGGAGAAGGGTACAGAGAGGGTGGAGCACATGGGGCTGCTGAGGGAGAGGGGGAGTCACAGACAGGGGTTCAGGAAGGCTAGTGGGGAGACAGACTGGGGTGTGGACTCAGGAGATAGTGGGGTGACAGCACTGAGACAGGGGCTGAATGGGAGGGGGGTACAGGGCCACTTGGGAACAGGGGCTGCAGGTACATATAGGGTAGATGTGCCTGACTGAATAGGTAGATGTGCCTGACTGAATAGGAAAGGCTAGAAATCAGCCAGGGTCTGCATGGGGGAGGCTCCCCAACTCCCTAATAATCCCCCCCATACCCAAAAAACAAACAAACAAACAAAAAAAAACAACCCTGTTCCATACTTCTCTCATCCACACCCAACAACCTTCGAGGTTCACTCCCAGGCTCCTTCCCTCTCCCTCAGCTTCTCCGTTACCCCTGACTCCTGCAAGCCTTTGCATTGCTTCTGAGGGGTGCGGGAAATACATTTCTGTATTGTAGTTTAAATGAATTACTCAAAGTTCTGTATTAATATGCCTACTAAGGAATCTATTTGTAACAAACAAAAAACAAACAAACACCCAACATTTCCTGAAACTTTTTTTTGACTGTATTGTTACAGACATACCTGCTGACAGGTATTTTGAAATAAATTATTAAAATAATTGAAACTGGCATGATTATATTGTGTTATTTTAACACTAGAATATGCAGAATTTTGCAGCATTTTAATATATTGTGTGTAGAATTTTTAATTTTTTGGCGCAGAATTCCTCCAGAAGTAAAATACACGCAGGGAACAGATTTGGTGAGTAGGAAGGTACTATTTTTACACAAAATAGTCACTTTTCAGAGTAGAACTGCTCTTTAAGAGCCTACTCTTTGTGGGAGGTAATTTCTCAATAAGAAAAGAGAGCACTCACTTCTTGTGAACTCATGAGAATGGTAAGTTAACATTTTGAACAAAATTTAAGAATTTAGTAACAGAAAAATAAAAGCGGCAAAGAGTCCTGTGGCACCTTATAGACTAACAGACGTATTGGAGCATAAGCTTTCATGGTGGGTGAATACCCACTTCATCTACGAAAGCTTATGCTCCAATACGTCTGTTAGTCTATAAGGTGCCACAGGACTCTTTGCCGCTTTTACAGACTAACATGGCTACCCCTCAGAAAAATAAAAGTTGCCATGCAGAACCAAACAGAAGCAAATGTTATAAAAGACTCATCCAGAAAAGTATAACATATTAAACACACAAAAATAGGTAAATCCTATTGTGAGTAATGGTTATACAATACCATCTGTTTTTAGCAAAAATGTAACAAGTAAATAACAATTAATTTTGCATGAACCAGTGATTTAACTCATACCTGGTGGGTCCCTGCAGATGTAACAGATGTACTGCTCTGGAATGCTGTCCTCTAATAATCCCATACATACACTATGTTGCCAGCACAGGCATTCTTCACACTACCGCCCAAAAGAAACAAGGTAATTTATTATTTGTAGGTCAGTACTATTTCCAGCTTGTTCAAGATAGAGGGAAATACCAGCTTTCCATTAGCAGGCAGCTTGAGTTATGGTATTGTACTCATGCAATTTGTATTTGCAGTAGCAAAAACAAGCCATAATTAAGCATAATTTTAACTTTGAAAGTGACCCCATGACCACATATTCCAATCTGGAAAACAAAATCAAGGATTTAACATCTAGCAATATTTTATTATAATAAAATAAAGTACTTCAGTACTAAATATTTAGTAGCTGAGCATAAAGACACTAGTATAGGACTTTGGCAAAATAGAAATATATAGCAATATATTATAGCACAGGGATCGGCAACCTTTGGCACGCGGCCCAACAGGGAAATTCGCTGGCGGGCCGGGACTGTTTGTTTACCTGCAGCGTCTGCAGGTTTGGCCGATCACAGGTCCCACTGGCCACAGTTCGCCGTTCCAGGCCAATGGGGGCTGCGAAAAGCAGCGCGGGCCGAGGGATGAATTTAGCCAATTCTTTTTTGAACCCATGAATTTAGCTAATTCTTTTTTCTAATTTCTTTTTAACCCCCATGAATTTAGCTAATTTTTTTTTACCCAGTTATACTTTTGGCCTTTGTAACATCCCCTGGCAAGGAGTTCCACAGGTTGACTGTGCATTGTGTGAAGAAGTAATTCCTTATGTTTGTTTTAAACCTGCTGCATATTAATTTCATTGGGTGACCCCTGATTCTTGTGTTATGAGAAGGGGTAAATAACATTTCCCTATTCACTTTCTCACACCATTCATGATTTTATAGATATCTATAATATCCCTCCTTAATCATCTCTTTTCTAAGATGAACTGTCCCAGTCGTTTTAATCTCTCCTCCTGTGGAAGTTGCTCTATACTGCTAATCATTTATGTTGCTCTTCTCTGAATTTTTTCCAATTCTAATATATCACTGCAACTGCGTTCATCACAGCACCCTACCCGCAGAGCCAGGAGGCATGAGATATGGGGGGAGGGTACAGAGAGAGTGGGGCACATGGGGCTGCTGGGGGGGGAGTCACAGACTGGGGTTCAGGAGGGCTAGTGGGGAGACAGACTGGGGTGTGGACTCAGGAGATAGTGGGGTGACAGCACTGAGACAGGGGCTGAATGGGAGGGGGGTACAGGGCCACTTGGGAACAGGGGGCTGCAGGTACATATAGGGACTGGGGTCAGGTACATAGGTAGATGTGCCTGACTGAATAGGAGAGGCTAGAAATCAGCCAGGGTCTGCATGGGGGAGGCTCCCCAACTCCCTAATAATCCCCCCCATACCCAAAAAACAAACAAACAAACAAAAACCAACAACCATGTTCCATACTTCTCCGTTGCCCCTGACTCCTGCAAGCCTTTGCATTGCTTCTGAGGGGTGCGGGAAATACATTTCTGTATTGTAGTTTAAATGAATTACTCAAAGTTCTGTATTAATATGCCTACTAAGGAATCCATTTGTAACAAAAACAAAACAAACAAAAACCCAACATTTCCTGAATCTTTTTTTTCTGTGTATTGTTACAGACATACTTGCTGACAGGTATTTTGAAATAAATTATTAAAATAATTGAAACCGGCATGATTATATTGTGTTATTTTAACAATAAAATATGCAGAATTTTGCAGCATTTTAATATATTGTGTGTAGAATTTTTAATTTTTTGGCGCAGAATTCTCCCAGAAGTAAAATACACGCAGGGAACAGATTAGGTGAGTAGGAAGGTACTATTTTTACACAAAATAGCGTACATTCAGAAGTGCCACGGACTGAATGCACACAAACTGTACCAACCTCAGTCTTAGAGAGGTGGTCCTGCACAGAAAAAATAGAGGCATTGTGTGGAATGCAAAAAGCTTTAACTGCTACCACCTTTTTCTGACCTGGTGTATAGACAGAGAACTTTAGGGATGCCAAAAGAGTAAAAATTCACAAGAAAGAATGCAGAGCGAGTGCCTTACCTGAATCATGAAGCCATTTTCCTCATCCATTTCACAGATGCATCTAACAATTTCATTGAGAGCATCCTCTTCATCCTGAGACTCTTCAAAATTGGTTGAATCAAAGTCCTGATTGTATTCATCACCACTCAGTAATAAGCTTTCTGTGGAGGAATCATCTAAGAACTCCACATCCGAGAGGTCTAATAAAAACAAATAAATCTGAAGTTGTATATGCAAACAGATTTAATGTTTTACAAGAACGTAGGACTTAGATGCTGAATGATCCTGCACTACAGATAGCGGAAGTCACTCACAGATTTACTGCTGGAAGATTACCCTTCTTGGTGACCTCTACTGTATATACAGCAATGCAATGTAGCCACCTTAGAGGTAGGAGTGGCAAAATCCAACCAGTGCCCAGCACAATGCAGAACAGCAAGAGGAGGGTAAATGTTTTGTTCAATCTGTCATGAAAGTATATACACGTTGGTTTAACAACATACAAGCATAAAAAGTTTCATATTTTTATGCCTAAAGTGAATTATTTGGCTTGCATTTGGCCTTTTTAATTCGCCTTCTTTGGGAAATATAAATTTTAGAATAAAATTTCCTACTGTTCAGCCAACCTACTTTCTCCACTCAGGTCGACAGACAGAATGGCTCTTGGATACTGGTATGAAGTGTTCTTCTCTGTAAACATGCTTCGCAGAGTCAGAGAGCTCCCAGAAGACCGTGTGAGTGGAGAGGAGCACCTTTCCAAAAACTCAAGAGAACTATCTTCATAATCCGAATAATCTAAAAAATTAACATGAACAGTGGTTATCTGATGTTATAGTACTCAAGAAAAAGTATGTCTGTAAGAGTTCACAAGGCCTGAGAATGACGATTATGTAAGAAAGTTACAACATTATGTGCAAAAGATAAAGAACATGCATTAGTGCATAAATACCAAAATGAAGGGAAATGTATAAATATCTACATCACACAAACCCCTAAACGGTCTTATTTTACATGTGTATCAATGTAAGCGATATTAAGAACATTATGGTTACCAAGTCAAGCAGCAGAGTAAAAAAAAAAAATTACAAAGTTAAAAATGTCACACGTGACTTCAGCTCTGCCCCTCTTATGTACATACACTGCACCAGACTAATTATATAACTTCTTATTTCTCACTTCATACATATCTGAGATTGTGAGAAAGTACCTTGTAAGACTACAAAAAGGAAAGAATATTGCACTATATCCATAATCAAAGTTCTTCAATTGATCTTTGATTGACTTATTTGTCAGTTCTTTTCTATCAAACAGTATTGTGTGTATTGGACACATCTTAGAGGGTTTTCATAAATCATGCCTCATCATCACATGGTTCTCCTTCCTTCCCACTGACAATCAAATAGTATCCTTGTGGCAACTGCAACAGACTTACATGGAAAATAAAACTAGTAACAATGAATGTTTAGCTCCTTCTGATGTGTTCTAGAAATTATAAGCCCCAGTTCTTGTCTTTTTCTTGTTTTGACACTGAGAAAAAACAGAATCCTTTTTGTCTCACGTTCCTCTCCTGCTTCCCAAATTTCATGCCTAAATCTGTCCAAACGTCTGCTGCTAAGATGATCTTGCTTTTTCAACACACAATGCTTGCCAAATTTTTTAAAATGTTCCCAATTAAGCCATGAACCTGAGGTCTGCTGGAGAGTTATGCGCACATCTCTGCAAATATTAGGTAAAATTTTTTTTAAAGAGAAATACTTAATTTTTAGAGAAGCAGAACTACACCCTTGTGCAATATTGTAACCTCCCTCCCAACCAATAAACTAGTAATGGGAGAACTTTAAAAAGTTTTGAGGTTTGGATAAATATCTGGTTTTGATGTCTCTTTGAAACAATGTAATCCTCCACACAATTTTCAATCCTCTGTTTCCAGCCTACTGCTAACTTCTACAGCAGGGATCGGCAACCTCTGGCATGCAGCCCGCCAGGGAAATCCACTGGCGGGTCGGGACAGTTTGTTTACCTGCAGCGTCTGCAGGTTCAGCCGATCACAGCTCTCACTGGCCGCGGTTTGCCGTTCCAGGCCAGTGGGGGTGTGGGAAGCGGCACGGGCCGAGGGATGTGCTGGCTGCCGCTTCCCGCAGCCCCCATTGGCCTGGAATGGCGAACCATGGCCAGTGGGACCTGCGATCAGCCAAACCTGCGGATGCTGCAGGTACACAAACTGTCCCAGCCCGCCAGTGGATTTCCCTGATGGGCTGTGTGCCAAATGTTGCCAATCCCTGTTCTACAGCATCTCCCATACATTCCATACTCTTAAAGTCCTGTTTCCTTCCCCTAGAAGTAATTCTCTCCATCCCTCTTTCTTCCATTTTTATTTTTCTCTCTATTCCCATCCCCAATTCATTCTGTACCTCTTCCCATCCCTACGTCTGCTGCTGCCACCTTCTCTCCTTTTTCGCTGGAGATCAACTGCAGCACCAACACCACTACCTGTAAGAGCTGAGAGAGCTCCTCTACACAGAACAGTTCTGCACAACTGGCCCAAGCCTGCAGCCACAACAGTCATAGGGAACAATACATGGACAGATATTATCCAAGCACAGTCAGTCAGACTACATGTCCTAGGACATGAGTTAAATAATTGTACTCACTGCTCATTACTTCAACCTTCTCATCCTCCTTTTTAAAGTATTCCACAGCCCTGCTACCACCATCTACAACAGTCCCACGCTGAATGCTTTGTTCAGGCTTCTCTCCTACATTCTCCCTTTCCACCATAATCCACTGTCAATTCTGTGCTTTCTTCCATGTCCCCTCTAAGCTTAGGGTAACCTCCCAGTCAACATTCCCCAAGAACCTTTGCTATCCTTCACACCACTCCTAAATACAACCTACTCCCTGATACCCATGATCAGTGACAACCGCAATTCCAGAGTAATTGTGTTAATTGTGTCATCTTCTGTATTGTCCCAAGGTGCTGTGCATTTAGATAGTAACTTTTTTGCCCAGTGTCATCAGTGTATAGCAGCATATCCATCTATGATGTGACAAATAACACTGAAATATATTGCGACAAGGGATTCTTTCTTCTTCATCCTCCCGCACCCTTAGGTGTGCAGAGCGCCCATCAGTTTCCACCATTTATTTTGGTCTTGTGCTGGTCTGTTCAGTCTTCTGAGTGTCATATACTTTCTCTATTGTTCGGTGTAAAGTTGCTCTAGGTCGACCTCTTTTTCTCTTTCCAGGTGGTGTCCATATTATCACTTGCAATGGAAGTCATATTGCTGGCATCCTCAAACCGTATCCAAAATATGTCCATCGTCATCATCTTGCCATATTCGATACTTTAGATTGGTGTGTTCTACTTGGAATTTCTGATGCTGCAAGAATCTCTTTCCAATGGATTCTGAATATCTTCCATAGACATTTACTTTCAAATGAAATATCTTCTTATCAATTTCTATAGTAGATTTCCATGCCTCTGCTCCATTAAAGAGGACAGAATTCATGCTGGTGTTAAAAATTCATGTTTTTATGTCATTCCCAATCATGCTACTTTTCCAAATCTTTTCCAGTTTATGAAAGATGTTTTCTGCTTTTGATATTCATTGCTTGACATCTAGCCTCAATGACAAGAGCTATCTAGAAATTTGAGTAAACAAAATAAATGTAGAAAATACAATGTCTATTTGGTACATCAAGTACTAGCAGGCTTTCACCTAAATGAAATGGGAAATCTTCATTAACCATTTTTTCATTTGTCCAACTTACACTAAAGTTATCCTTTCCCATTCAGCATGCATGAATGTTTATCATTCCTTTATTGCAGATGCCAGAGTATCCTTCTAGTCTTATCTGTTTCACTCACTAGAAATATCTGATAAACTGAGGGTTTCAGCTAACATACATAAGGGTTTTCGAAAATACTTTGCTCTCTATGCTCAGAGAAATATCATGTTCCACTTGTTCCAATTACAATATCACATTTCCAGAAGATATACTTGTAATTCCAAATCAACAACATGGCCTATTAGGCCTATTCAATATAACCTGTGCAGGACCCAATGTAAACTAATACAAGACACCAAACTATATTCAGTTTAAATTTGTATCTGACTGCTACAACAGTCATTCTCAAATCTGTCTGTTCAAGTGTATTTGTCATCATTTTGACTATTTTTATGTAAAACTTGCATATTCATTAGTGTTATTATTTATGCAAGATTTTACATTAATACTCTGATCATACTTTCAAAGGACTGAACAAACAGTATTACACTTTTAAAAAATTATTCAGAAACTGGTTTAAACTATAAAAAGATCTCCTGGGCGTGTGTTCTGAATTATTGCAACTTAGGTGCTGGTGACGCTCAGCCTTTGGCTTTATTCTTAAAACCACATCTGTGTGGAAGTGAAAGCACCCTGCAGTGCCTTACTGCCTACCAGATGAACTAGTTCGGACTTACTAGACTTAACTAAATGACAGCACTTCTAATATTTATGCATCTAATATTTAATGTCTCCTTACATGCACATAAGGGATCACACCTTTCCCCACATCCAAACCCAATTTGCAGATAACAGAAACTACTGAAAAGTTTATCATTTTAAATTATGTTGACTCAGATAAATGTAGAAAAGTAGCATTAAACTTGATTTAGCTGAAGTGTATACCACATTCACCTTACAGTGTGTGATTTGAATGAATAAGTGTTTGCTCACTTCAGAAATCTGCAATTTATCCTCTAGAAAGTCATGGTCAGAAATTGTGATGAACTAGGAAGGGCTTTACGACACTATTTTGTCACAAATCTGTTTTACTATATTATAGCAGCAGCAAAGAATGAGTCTACTAAACACAAATGTTAAGAGACATCAACAAAAGTTGTCCCATTACCATCACTCCTCCCCCTCCCCTTTAAAAAAAAATTATACAAAAATACAACCTTCCCCAGCTTTTCCTTTGTTTTATATTGCCTGCCTAGTTAGGCTGTAACCTCCTCAAGAGCAGGGACTGTGTATTCTTTTGTGTCTTGAACAGTGTTAGGCACATTGTTTGTAAACAAGAAGCTGAGAAAACAGGAAATGACACCAGAAATCTTGTGGTGCAGAATGTAAAAAATACACTTGAAACCACATGCTTGTGAGCAGAAGTTCTCACTAAAAATCCTTGTCCTGGGGGCTCTTAAATTATTAATCCCAGAGAGTTTCCAGGAATCTTGTCTGGATTACTCTGAATATTTTAATCACAAATATTATGACTGACATCTACTAAGGTACACTACGGATTTGTTAATGAGGTAAATCAATCTGAGGGGCATGCCAGAGGCAGCCAACAGTTTTTGTTTTCCATTCTTCCTCTTTTATATTACAGAGAAAAAAAGAGCATATCCCATAAACAAAAAAGCAGCAGAAAGGTAAGAAAAATACATGGTATAATTAAATGGCAAGTCCCAAGACATTTACGGTAAAAAGGAATTTTTCACAAAATGGATATCTCATCACTGGGGTGAAGAAAAGATCAGAGAGTTTTGGCCATATTATTATTATTTGTATTACCATAGCACACAGGAGCCCTAGTCATAGACCAGGACCCCACTGCCCTAGGTGTTGGACAAACACAGAACAAAAGGACAGTGCTTGCTCAAAAGAGCTTATAATGTAAGTCTAAGACAAGAGGCAACTGATGGATATGGACAGATGGTGGAGGAAACAATGTGACAAAATTGGGCAGCAAGATAGGCAGCGATCTCAGCACATCAGCGACCTAACCATTTGTTGCAAGCAACAAGCGAAAGGAGAGTTTCGAAGGGGGATAACGAGTTGGTTTTGCAGATGTTTATGGGGAAGCTCTTCCCAGCTTGAGGGGCAGAATGGGAGAAAGCACAAAAGTGATTGTTTGAAAACAATGTGTGGGGTATGAAGGCTGGCATCGTGGGCTGATGGGATGCAGAAGTGAACAACTCGATAGTGAATGAGAGATAAGAGGGTAGGAGCTGGCCATGAAGGATCCTGAAAATGAAGACAAGTAGCTAGTGTTTGATACAACAGAGAAGGGGGAGCCAGTGGTGGGATGCACAGACACAGGTAACAGTCAAAGTGACAAGCTAGGAAAATGATCTTCACAGCAGCATTCTGATTGGATATGAGCTGGACAAGATTGCATTTGTCAAGGCCAGAGAAAAGGATGTTGCAGTAACTGAGACATGAGATGATGAGAGCAAGTATGCAAGTTTCAGCTATGAGGATGAATAGGAAAAACTGTATCTCAGAGATGTTATGCAGAAAGATTTGGCAAGATTTAGACACAACCTAAATATGAAAATAAATGTAAGCAGTGAGATAGTCAGGGCTGGATGTGAAAGAGTCTGAGATGCAGAACTGGGTGGAGGGAGGCTGGAGTGGAGAAGTGTATCTACATGTCATTGGTGTAAAAATGGTAGTTAAAGCCATGAGTGGACATGATCACCTGGAGACAGGATATAAAGGGAGAAGGAGAGGAGATACCAAATCAAAGTGCCTTTGCTATGTGAAATTACAAGACCACCACCTCATTTTGGTAATTTCTGACATTTCAGAACTTGTTTCTGAACTGTATGAATGTTCAATATTTCAGTCGGTAACAACAACCAAACAGAACCAGAAAGATAGTATTTGATCTTTACTTTTTGTCTTAATTTTTCTTAACTCACCATGCTGTTTCGCTTTCTTCTTCTTTTTCTTCTTCTTCTTCTGTTTTGATTTATGATCTTTTTCCTTTTTCTCTTTCTTCTCTTTATCTTTTTCTTTCTTTTTACCTAATTGCAAATTAACATTTTAAAGTATTACCATCATCCTTGAATACTTTTTTCTTTCAGTTACCCTAAAAGCAACATTTAAATTTTAGATCAGTTGTGCCAGTCACCTGCCCAGAGTGGAATGAGTCAATTAATTTGTTCAGTGCCATGAGTGTAGCCCTTGTGATTAACTGATTTTGGAGCAGCACTGGGGTTCCGCCTTAGCTGAGACACCTTGAAGTTAACACAGTTATTAGTGAGACTCTTCCTAGCAGAGTAACATAATTCAGCTTCTCAGTGTCAAGAAGTCAACTGTATCCCACATCTTGACAGGTAACGTTGTGTAGCCTGCAGAATTTCCAGATGTGACCCGCACATGAGGAAAAAAATAAGACCCAGTTTTAATAAAGCTTATATTTTTAAAAATGTGTATTTTAAAAATACATCAGTAGTACATCAATTAGTTTGCAAGAAACAGAGTAGACAACCCATTTATTTTCCAGGTTTTGATCATGCTGTAGAAACAGGGAAGATGAGAACAGAAAGAACTCTTAATTTAAAAAATTACATCCTCTAGCAAAGCATGCTACATGATCTAGTATGGAGCTTAATGATAAACACCTGAAACTGTAGCTGCCATAAATTACTTTAAGAACAGCTAGCTGTCCTCTCACCCAAAATTTTATCAACAGAGTTTGTTCTGAATAAAATTAAAGTTACATTTTTGAATGTCTACTCCTTTTTAAGTACTACTGAAATCTACATGTGAATGGAGTCTTTGTTTTATAATAATTCATCTGTCCCTGCTACTTGCTTCCCATGTGAAGCCATAATCCATAGCTTCTAACTTCATAGTTATTTCCAAAGCAGACAGTTGTGAAGCCAGAAAGAGGGACTTGACTTCAGCTAGAAAATAAACCCCAAAGACTGACTCTAAGATAATACTCTTTTTTGTAAAAAGAAAAGGAGTACTTGTGGCACCTTAGAGACTAACCAATTTATTTGAGCATAAGCTTTCGTGAGCTACAGCTCACTTCATCAGAGTCATACAGTGGAAAATATAGTGGGGAGATTTTATATACACAGAGAACATGAAACAATGGGTGTTACCATACAGACTGTAACAAGAGTGATCAGGAAAGGTGAGTTATTACCAGCGGGGGGGGGGGAATGTATGCATCCGATGAAGTGAGCTGTAGCTCACGAAAGCTTATGCTCAAATAAATTGGTTAGTCTCTAAGGTGCCACAAGTACTCCTTTTCTTTTTATGGATACAGACTAACACAGCTGCTACTCTGAAACACTCTTTTTTTGTGTACATTTCCCTTAGCCACACAGAATAAGAGCAGATATAGTGAATGTTTCAATTAGAGCTAATTGGGCTTATTTCTATTCCTTCTTTTCTTCCATAGATTGATGAGCAATTCAGACACATATAGGGCTGAATCTGTGTCAAAAATGAATTTGTTTGGGGAAGGAAAACTGTGAATCGTGGCAAAAGTGAAATTTTATGAATGAGTCCCTATCTGACCATCTCTGTAATATTTGAAGAGTGAATACCCAAACTTCCTTAATTTATATTTCATTTTAGGAGGCATCGCATATTCTGTTGGATACCTAGCCATTAGACTTTTTCTTTATTTATTCCACCTCTAGGCACAAGTTAATAACCACACATACCACTAATTTAATTGAAAAAGGTTATAAAGGGTACCCTATCATTATTCTTTTCCTCTTAGGCCTCATGCCCCACCCAGCTGGTCTAGGAACGGACACATGACATTATAGCCCTACTATTACTACCGGATTTGTCCCTCTGTGTTCTTGCAATTTACACACAATCTCTTAGGCATACATTGTCACACAAGTTTACTTATTTCCAAGACCTTTTGCATCAATTTAGGTGTTTGCGTTTCAGGTTTTTTGTTTTTTAAAAACTGGATGCTTTAGAAATATTAATACAGCTGAGCACTTACACCTAAAAGAGCATAACAGGTAAAAAGTTAGGGACAGGCTATGTTCTTACTCTCTCAAGCTTTAGACTTTTTGCTTAAATATGATTTTCTGTGCATACCAAATGATGATGAGCTTTTCTCTTCCAATTTCACCTTTTTTTCAGTTTTCAGTATACCTGTAGGTTTAAGAAAAACACACAAGCTTAGTGGGACCACTGCGGACGATGTACTTTCTTGTAAAAGTTACTTGGATGTAAACATTCCTATCAATACATAATTAAAAGAAAGACACAATAACACATTGATTTTTAAAGATGCTTTACAATTACTTTTACGGTCTTAAGCACTGGAAACAAAAAGCACTGTAGTTTACCAACTTCTGAATGCTTGTCCTTCTCAATGACCTTCTTTAACATTTTCTCCTGCAGATTCTCAAAACATTTCTCCTTTACAGGCACAGAGAACTGTATCTCTGTCCCTTCAGAGCTGACTGACGTGGAGGACCTCTTTTTTTTACTATTCCCTTTGGGTAACTTTAGACTATTGGTTAAAGGCATTTCCAGATGTAAGGCATGTACATGGGACGAGGGTGCTGAAAACAAGAAGACAAATTTACTGGGCATTCAGTAAGGATTTAATCCTGTATATCAGCATAGCAGCCAGGTCACTGGCTGAGTCAGGCTGCTGAAATGACAAGTACAGGAAATATTTTCATAATAGTGAATATATTGTTAAGTTTTGAATGCCTAGGTCTCAGTCTTACTATTTACTAAATGCTACATGCCAAAAAAAAGTCTGTTCTCTCTACTTTAAAAAAAAAAAAAAAAAAAGGAGATATCGATTCCAAACAGAGAGGTTAATTTCAATTTAATTCTCTCCTGCTTTAGATAATTTTTTTTCCTTTTCTTCTCTTTCCATTACAGTGGAAGTCACTAGTAACAGTCAAGGAGCTGATGTCACCACAATTAATTAACTGTGTCTTACTTTGAAGGGATAGCTATCTTTAATAGATTTTAGGGTTACAATGCTACTTATTAAAAAAACATTTGGCTCAATAGAAAGTCTACAACATCAAAGTTTATTGCATTCAGGAGTTATTTTTAAAAATGGTATTCTACCTCTAATCTAATAGAAGCTCATTAGGTTACCTCTGGAAATCAGTGTCCTTTTAAAATTGGAATCTAAAGAAAATAAATTTGAAGTATATGTAAAGCAGAAAGCTTTGTGTATAAATCAGAATTTGAAGTTACACTTGCATACAAAGACTGTTTTGAAAGATTTCCTAATCCTCGATTATTCCCTAAAGTGCTCAGTATTTAGAAGATTTTTCTCTTCATTGCAAACTAGGAAATCATAAAACTAACTGAACAGAGATGAAAAAATATTTTAATATTGTAACTCTGATATTTATTATCAAAAGCATCAAGGCAATTTTCAAATAATCAAACCAAATAAGACCCAAAGTTATTTTGATCTAAGGAGGATACCTATTTTACTCTCTGCCACAGGGAAAAAATAAGTTGCTCAATAAACAATTACCAGCATCACCAAGATCTCCCACCAACCTTACTAGCCAATGCAGTGCAAGCTCTAAGTCTGTTCCCTAATTACACAACAGGAAAGTTCTAGATGTAGTCTAAGGCCTCCCTGCCTAATGCTGCAAAATACTAAGGAAATATAGTCTTACAAAATTATAAGGAGGTATCTGGGTTTTTTAAACATTTAAAAATCTATTTATCATCCCTTTCAGTTTAAGAATCACTCTCACAAGAGTAGCTTGACATATTTTGTGGTTAGGATCCTCTGATGCTGAGGTTAGCACAGTAACAACTGTTTGGGTGTTTAAATCACTCTTTGGGTAAAGTTTGTGTGTGTACATTCTGGTAATATTTCAGGCCAAGTTTTTCCAAAAGTTATTCATGATTTTGAATATCCAATTTAAAAACACTAAATGGGACCCAATTTTCAGAAGGCAGGTACTCAGCACTTTCTGAAAAAATCAGGTACCATTATGGTGTCTCAAAAATTGGGCCCCCAAAAATAGCATTCAAAATCCTTAATCACTTCTAAAAATCTTGGTGTCTGACAATAATGCAAAAGATTAACCCTGCAGAAAACCTTAAAGCAGCCAGAACGCTGAATATGATCCAAATAAAGAGGAGGTTCTTTTGGGGTTCTTTGAAGTCCTCTCTTAAGGAAATTAAAAACAGGATTAAGAAAACTATGTGAATTTAGTGCTCATGAAAAGCGATGGATTGAGAGGCCTGAAAATCGAAGTCCTCTACTTAACAAAAAAGACTTGGTACAGAAAGCGGTAATGCTCTGGGGACACGTATGCCGAGAGAGAGCACAGAGCCTCCTCCTGGGCTAGTTTTCCCTCACCAGACAGAGCGCCACACACTTCACATCAGCTTCCCCCTAGCACTCCAGCTCCTGAGAAGCCTCTTCCCTCAAGCAGTAGCCAAGGAACTTCACAGTGAACAGGCAGCAGGAGCAGCTAGGGCACTGGTACACAAAGCAGCAGGAATTACCCAACACAGAGGCTACTACATGGTGGACCTTCCAAGCTGTCTGATGTAAAGGCAGCTTCAGATCCCACTCCCCATCATGCACCCTGGCCAGCAGCTGGAAGCAGCTACTTGTATTGGGTAGAGGGAAGGAGCCAAAGTGCCTCTAGGTCTCAGGGTGCTGCTTGGAGGTGTTTTCTTCAGTTGGTGTTGTTAAGCCCCATCCAATAGTTTGAACAGACTATTCCTGATGCCCAATACCCTCAACACTGGCCCCAGCCTGAGCACCACTCTGAGCAGCAGAGATAGGAGGGGAGGAGGGATATGTAAAACACCCTTTGGGTTAAATATCCCTAATAAATATATTTGTTAGCAACAGAAAACATTATCTGAACTATTTCCGCCTCAGGGCTTCCCAGCTCCTGTGACTGTCTTGTCGGACTGTAAAGTTCTGCAGGGCTGCAAGAGTCTTCACTTTGTGTTTTTACAGAGCCAGGAGCACACTGTCATCACATAACAAGTAACAAACAACAACAACAACGACAACCTCCCACATCCCATTCTACCAGCAGGCTTCACCCTAACCTGCAAGGACCACCTCTAGAGATGGAAGCTTATTTTTTAGTATTCTATGGACAATCAATACTTGGCCTCTCTGTCAAGGCTAACAAAGGTTCCCATTAGTGCTAATGTGGCGGACATGCTGCTACTTATTTTATTTTATTTTTTGAGGGTGGGGGAGGAGGTTATGTGGACATGTGTACTGTACAAACTAAACTGAGATCACATAATACCACACATCAGATAATCTGGTTAGGCCACTACTATTTTGAGCCAGAACATTGAGGGCTCCACATCTGAACAGTCCACTGAATAATCTAGTCCCAAGTCATCTTCCCAAAACAGGACTGGATTTAAACTAGTTATTTAAAAACAATTTTCCTATGTCAGCGATCCAAACCCATCAAATGTCATTATTCCAAACATTACCTTAAATTTTCAAAATCCTGAAATTAGACCATTAAAGCTTAAATACCACCTGACAAACTAATCAACTGGTGACTAAGAAAGCTGGCTGATGGCTCCAGGAGGTATTTTTTATAGAAAGAATTCTGCTACAGTGACACTAATGCCCTTTCAAATAATTTACCCATGTAAGCTCCATCACTACAGTAACAGGAAAGGAGAAGATAACACATACAGTTACACTTTTCCTAGTGAGCAACTTTATCGAGTCTTCACTTAGAGGCGCATAAGAGGAAGTGGATAATCATATGAAATAGAAGCCTAGATATACTTCCTATTAGTAATCACTACATGTTTTGAAAATTATAATTTCATTTGTACCTAAATAAATGCTATTTCATAAACCTGATATTTTGATTTCAAATGTGTAAGTTATCATATCTTATAAAATAAAATGTTGATTTACACTAAATAGCCATAAAATTAAGTAAGAGGTGATCATTCGGAGCCTTTTAAACCAATGTAACCAACAGAGCAATACCGTTCATAATTTAATAATTTGCATAAACTAAATACTGATAAAAATGAAACACGGTAGTGACTCTGTAAAGAAGTTTTTAATTGTCACTTGTTTCCTCTTGAGGTAACCAGATATGACCTCCTACCCACACACAGCGGCAGTGCGGGAATCTATGCAGGAAGTGCTATGCATGCTGTGTATTGTGTGTGTACACCAAAGACACTGAAGGACCAGATGTGAGCAATCGATGTCGATATCATTACCTCAAAGGCGAGTTTTGCCACCTCCATGAAATAATGGAAAGACCTATTTCAGCTCAAATATATGCAGACTACATCAGTTTTGCTGCTTTAATTATGCCAGCATAGTTAAAGCAGCACAGACCCTCAAGTGCAAATAAATGTATATTGGTATAAAATAGCTTATTCTGGTAAAACCTATTCCAGTTTGACAACACCTAAGAACCTATGGGTTTTCACCAGAATAACTATGCCAGTTACAAAAAAAAAAAAAAAAAAATCACATCCCTTAACATTGTAATATCTTTAAGCATAGATAAGACCAATATAGTCAGGGCTTTCTAAAAAAATATGGATTTTGTTTTTTTTCATTTTTGGAGCTTCTGTCACTCTCAAGTATTTACATGAAAATATATTTTTAAATATATATCATGGACATTTTAAACAGACTCTTAATTTCAATCTGTGCATGAAAACTAACTCTTTTAAAAGTTTAAAGGAGTGATGAGAACATTAAGGTTCTTCTTTGCCTATTAGGAAACAGAAGAACTCCACAAAACTGACTGTAACCCTTCAGGGGACAAGCAAAGGCAGAAATCATTGGAGAGAAGGGCATGACTAGCAACTGGAATGAACTCTCAATGAATGCTGAAGACAGGGGTGTAGACAGATCTGTGAACTGCTGGGAGGCTTGGTTTGCTAGTATCAGGAAACTTCCAAAACACTGGGTAGATGAGAACACTGATAACAATTCAATATACAGAAATGGCTAGCTAATCTCATTTTTATCCTTGAGTATTAAATTCAGTAGGTAGTGGTTTCTCATTCTAGCTACAGCATATGTGAAAGTTGTTGATCAATACCGAGTTACTGTAATCAGCGATCAAAATCATCAATGAATGAATTCATCTGACATGTCTAATTTTGAAGAAAATAGTAGAAAACAATGGACTGGATCATTAAAAATAGATAATTGTGTTAAAGTATAAACACTGTCAAGAGTTGTTAAATTGCAAGATAGGAAGATTGCATGTTGACATTTGCATTCAATTTCCATAACCATGTAAAATTTGCAGAGGATAAGGAGGGTTTTGATCAAAACAAAGCCTGTATTTTACACAAGGAAATCTACAATGAAGCACTAATGGTACAAATGCAATAGGTTTCAGAGGGACTTAACAGTTTACAGGCTGTCTGTGGATATTTGTCAGTCTCATTGGAAAGCAGACTTGTTTTAACTCACAAGAACCAAAGACAAATTTGGAAAAATAATTCTGATAAACTATATACCTTTTCCGTTACTTAGTCAACATAACTCCTAACTATAACTTTAGGCTGAACCCAGAACAAGAAGCAGCAG